ACAAAAATAAGTTCATTGCTGACTTTAAATAGGTCAGCATAAAATACATTTTAAAAATTAGAGAAATATTAAACGTTATGTTTTAGTTAAAATTATAAGATTATTCTGTTTGTTTGTTTTTTTTTCAAATTTCATATGTCCAAATAAAACATTCATTCAGTAAGAATAACCACTCCATGATCTGTTTGAATGTCACTCCTTCCTTTTCCCAGGAAGTTGACGTGAATCTACAGATAAACATCAATTCCAGGGAGGAGGGTTTACGTGAAGGCCGCCATGTTTCTGTGGGGGGAGGGGGAGGAGCGGCAGATGCACGAACATATGGCAAGCCCTTTTAACATAAAATAGGATTCACCACGCTTACATTCCAGATATCTGAAACTGAGTTTTGACTAGACATATTAGTTATTTAAGATATCTTGAATTGCATTTTGACTAGTCAAAATACTCATTTAAGATATCTCTAATTACATTCTGACTAGTCATAATGACGTCAGATTTACCATTGAGTTGTATGGAGGCTTCAATTCAAGATATCTTGAACTGAATTTTGACTAGTCAAAAATACAGTTCTAGATATCTCTAAGTTAATTTTGACTAGTCATTATTTGCTTTCAAGATATCTCACTTTTAGTTCTGACTAGTCATAATTACAATTAAAGATATCTTAAATGACGTCATTATTCAAGATATCTTAAATGTATTTGTAGATATCACAAATGAAGTTTTGACTAGTGCAAATTAAATTGTAGATATCTTGAAAGCAAATAACGACTAGGCAAAACTAACTTAAAGATATCTAGAACTGTACTTATGACTAGTCAAAATTCCTTTTAAGATATCTCAAAATGAATTCAAGATATCTTGAATATTTTATCATGTAGACGGCTTTTCTATTTAAGATATCTTGAATTCACATTTTGACTAGTCAGAATGACATTCAAGATATCTTGAATTGTTATTCTGACTAGTCAAAACGTCACAGATTTACGTAGCATTTTGGCGGAAAAATCATAAGACATTGTAGCCTTTTTATTTTATAATCTGCAAAGTCAGGTCAGTCCAACACAACGCTCGTATTTTTTAACATGATTTTTAACGCGGCAGCTCGGATTATTTATTATATCTGCAACAAGAATACTCTTTTGCGACGTCTTTTTCACCACAACCGGAAACCGACACTTCCTGCTTTGCGAGTCTTTTCACTAAGGAGACATGGCTCTCTTTTCAACATCTTTGCTTAATTTGCCAATCTTTTCTTTCACTGCTGAGGAGGAAATCGCAGCGGCGAATTCTCGAACTAATAAACTTAAAAGGATAAAAGTTCTTCCTTGAAGAAGATCTCCACAGCTATCAAGGTAAGAAAAGACGTAGCTTAGCAAGCTAACCGTTAGCTACAACATATGAAGCGCATAAACATCGTAATAAAGAAGCCTAATTTAGTGTGCTATATTATTTGGAGTGTTTGAGACAGACATGATATAAAATCTTTAATTATATTTTTATGAGGTTCCATTAGTGCCAAACATATGTTTATGTGTGTATGTAGCGTGCTGTGTATATGTAAGGTGATGTGTTAAGTGAATCCACCTATTATACAATCTACTACTTGGTTTAAAACTAAATATGTTATAACAAGTATTAATTATATATATGTGTGTGTGTGTGTGTGTGTGTGTGTGTGTGTGTGTGTGTGTGCTAAAAACAGATCTATTTTAGATCTCACTGGGTGTTGAAAAAAGAAATGTTGGCTTATTTCTGCAGAAGTGCAGCTGGTGAAGGTTTTTGTAACCATGTAGTTGCACTTTTTTTTTTTTACCAGGCTGCCCACTACTCCCAACTCCAGCTGCCAACTGGTCCTCCTGTACTGGACTGCACAAGAGATTTACAAAGATGGCACAGACAAAGAACACAGGTAAAAAAATAAAATAAGAGTGGAACACATTATTTTCTGTTACATTATTTAGTATATGATGGTTATGATTCTCATAACAATAATTGTAATAACTTTCCCACCTGTATATTATTAGTGCCATGTGAAATTTGTCATAGTCTCAATATTACTTGTGTCAAATATATTTTTCTCTCCTAACTTGTTTAGAATTGTTTGTTTTTGTAGGTAATGAATAAATGCAGGTTCAACTTCTATGAATTAGTAATATTTGCAAGTTAAGTAAAAATCTTAACTCTCAAATCTGTCCCACTGTGTCCTACCAAATTGCTCACTTGTCTCTTTACATTTATTTATTTTTTAGTTTGACATATTTTATGTTTATTTCTTGAAAGGGAATCCATCCTGAACCTGCCAGCGAGGTGGTGGTGGTGCGAAAGCCCAAAACTGGTGTAAAGATGTTTGCACTCCACGCTTTACAGAGCTTACACAGGTATAACCTTTGGGTTAATGTTTTTATGTCCAAACTGTCAAAACTTATTGTGATTCTGTCACTCGTGTGTTTGTAGGACCACTTCCAGATCCTGACATCCTGGCATCGGGAGAAAAACTACACCAGCTGGAGTCCCAACCACTTATCACACTTATCCTAGAGATGGTCTCTCAGCTTTGGAGCTGGTACCATCCAGACTTGGTTCTGTGCCACAGGGCTCACTGGGGTCTCACCAGTGTCCACCTGAGAAGTCCTGCGCAGCATCATTCTGCACCACATGGCTCCAGACCTCCCTGCTCTTCCTTCGATGCTGCATAGTCTTCCCAACATGTGTTTTATGCCCACACTCGATCAACTTATGCATCTTCAGTCTCTGCAAGTGTCACATGAAGTACAGGCCAGAACCAGGGAGCAGTCCAGATGTCCCGCGTGGGTACAGCTTAAACAACCAAGGCTTACTGCTAGCTGTTTACGCTTTCCGTGTTGCTTACAGAGGAAGTGCGGAGGAGGAGTCTGCTGACAGCACTGACAGCTCAGATGATCAGGGGGTACACTAAACAATAACTGTTGAACGGGTATGGTGTGATGAATGGATTGATGATTGATTGATTGATTGATCAGATGAAGTCTAAACTGGACATGTTTTACTTCAACACCTTCATCCATGTGTTTATATCAATGCAGCAAGAAACATAAAATTTATAAATCACCCTTTTGTTCCTTCATATTTTTAATCAGTCTCAATCTGTGTGAATCACTGTAAATACTATATCCTGATGCTGCTCAATGATCCAGGTAGGAAAATCTAAAAAAAAGTTAAGTCTGGTCCTCTGGACATTCAAAAAGCAAAACAACAAAACAAACGCACACAAAATGTAGAAATGTTTCGTCTCTCATCCAAGAGACTTCCTCAGTCTGAGGTGCTGTTTTCAGCTCAGTCTCTTAAATAGCACCTTCTCAGAGTGGATCAACCAGTTTGCTGCTGACAACCATGTGTAAATGTGTGAACCATTTATTACTTCATTTTATGCTTATGTTTAATAAATGTTTTAATGTTAAATGGTTATTGTTGCACCGGGGTCTGAGAGAAATGTAATTTCAATCCTGTGTATGTCCTGTACATGTTGCAGTTTTTGACAATAAAAGTGACTTTGACTTTGAGCAGCACCTCAGACTGAAGAAGCCTTTCGGATGAAAGACGAAACGTTTCTACCTTCTTTTTTTTGTTGTTTGTTTTGGTTTTTTGAATGTCCAGAGGACCAGACTTAACTTTTTAGATGTAAATACTGTAAATAGTTATTCATGAAAAATACATAAATGTGCCAATTTATTTAATTTGAAATTACATAATTTGATAAAATATCTATAATCCACTATCAATTTATAGTGTACGGTTATAAAATGTTAACTTAAATAGTTAGTTTTTTGTTTTTACTAGATATTGTAAATTGCACTTGTTTTCCTTGTAATTCAACTGAATCAATCCACAAATAAAAAAAACAGTACAGTATGCTGCTCAAGTGTGTTTTAATTGAAGAATGTTTAAAATAATTCAAAACAAACTACCGGTAACTACGTAACACTAGAACAATTTACATACATGTGACAAGCTTGGGTATGGATGTTATTTTTATTTTATAAACTTACTGCAACACCACCTTAGGACTTTCACCCAAGGACATCATTTATACACAGAAAAGACACTTGGGTTTGTTTACAAGTAAACACTGTGGAACAGAACCTACACGAGACTCAACTGTCACCTTCAACCTGGAATATAAATATGAAATTAACAAAAATAAATATGAATAATACTGAAGAATTGCAAAACAAACAAACATGGGCCTCACATTCAAATACAAAAATCCAAAAGCCAGTCAGTCTTCTCTCAGGTAAGACACTGACTAATTATGGTGACTCAAGCAGGCTGTGAGAGTGCAGTAAAGCATGGTAGGACAGATACGGTTGTTTTCTTGCCCCACAAGAACAACCAGGAACTGAACAAAAGCAACAGCGCAGAGACTGAGCCATTTTCCTCACTGTCTAACGCTAACACTAGAGCCACAGGAAGTTGTGGCATTTTCTAACAATGTTGTCCAGAACAGCTAGCGCCATTGCAGCCACTCAAAATTCTGCAGGCAGCTGTTTGAACAGCTAAGTAGCAGCCGCGGGTCCTACGCGTCATTTCTTAATTCAAGATATCTAAAAGTGTCATTCTGACTAGTCATAATTACATTCGAGATATCTTGAATTGTAATTACGGATGTTTGACCCTTCAAATGACAAATAAAGTGACGTCATTCAAGATATCTTGAATTACATTTTGACTAGTCAAAATGTAATTCA